TTTCTAATCCCCATTTCCACCGAGAGGGAAACTCTTCCAAAACCTACTCTTTATGCAGGGTATTGGTTCCAGTTCTCTGCCTTGTTGGCCCCAAAGTCATCCTCCCACATAAAAACCTGTGCCCTAGGGGACTTGAATTAAATCTAATACCCTTCTGATCACAGGTGTGAGATGAATACTCTGGCTTTGAATTTTTGGTGTGTCTGGGTGCTGTAGCTGTATGGTTTTCTTTTCAAGTTTGGCTTTTTTTTTTTATTAAAAAGTTGGTTGGTCCTTGCACTGTCTAGGAACGACCATTGATCAGAAAAAAAAAGATGTTTGAAAATTTAAAAAATTAGAAAAAATAAAGGAAAGAAGAAAGAATTTTGGTCGCTATTTGAAATCAGCATTTCTTAGTCGTTTGCGGAGGTAGAAGATGGGCTCCACTTCAAACTAAGTCCATCATGTTGCTGGAAGAAAGACGTCGCATAAATAGGGTTAAAAGACGTATACTTTGGGGCCGGGGAGGTGCTCGACGCCTGTAATCCTAGCACTGCTGGGAGCCAAGGCGGGGCAGAGTTGCTGCGAGGGTCAGGCAGTTCGAAACCTAGGTGAAGCAAGGAGCGAGGACCCATGTCTCTACTAGTTCAAAAAAGTTAGAAGAAAGAAATTATTGTCCAAGTATAGGTATATAAAAAAAACATCTAGCCAGGCATGGCTGCACTGCCTGTAGTTCCCAGCTAGCTGCGGAGGGTGAGCAGCGAGGAATTGCTTGAGCCAAGAGTGTTGAGGGTGCTGTGAAGCGTAGGCTGACGCCGCACGGCACTCATCTAGCCTGGGCAGCAAGAGCGGAGAACTCTGTCTCAAAAAAAGAAAAAAAAAAAAGTTAGAAAAAAAAACGTGATACTTTGCATGTGGGTAAGTGGTTTACACCTGTACAAAAGTACGTTTTCCGTATGTCATTCTGCGTCGACTTGCCTTTTATATTTTCAATTTCTTAAATCTTTCTGAGCGCGCGTTGCTGGCGGAGATTTCCGGCTGGACGAGATTTGTTTGATTAGTTATATTTGAATAGTAAGTTCATACTGATACCTCCAATAACCAATCTAACACCATGAGGTTCTTTCTTACCTTCTCCTATTTTGTAATTTGTGTCTCCTTTCTGCTACAACAAGAAACTTAGTTCCCAACGAAAGCATGTATACTCAATTGCTCTATACCCAACATCTAACCTACTAAGTAAACTTAGTTCTTTTATCTGTAGGATATATATCATTAAGGCTACACAGTCAAAACATTATGTTTAAAAGTTACATGTGAATGTAAACCAGGTCTTCATGTGGGTGAATGTTTCAAAAAATATCACACCATGAAAAATTATAGAGATTAAAATTACTCTTTGAATGTATCAATAATTTGAAATATAAAAAATCCAAATAAATAAGTTTGTATGAAAAGAAAAGAAAAGTTACATGACTTAATTCTTTTCTTTGTATGATTATAATATCAATCTAATAGACATTAGGCTTATTTTTTTCTATTTGCAGTCACTTTTAGGTTTACTTTTTGCATATATTTTGATTTAATTTTATTATTTTAGTATGTAAAATATTTACCATGGATCAAAAATCAAAACTATAACGAACACTTAGTGAAATTTTATCTTAATTTCTGACTTATCTTTGAGGTGTATCTTTTTGAATAAATAAACATGTATATTTGTGTGCATATGTATTCTCATTTCAACTTTTTTCTCACTTATTTCCAATTTTTTTATTTTACAACGAGTGCCTCAATAAATAAAATAACCGTGTACTTCTGTTATTTTATATGATGAACCTGCATATTCAGGGTGAATACTTAAAAACGGAGTTGCTGCACCAAAGGGTGCATGCTTGTGTAGTTTTGTTGGCTGTTGCCCACTTCTCCTTAGGGCGGAGCCATTTGCGTTCCCCCGGGGAGTGTAGGACAGTGCCTGTTTCCCCACAGCCTTGCCGGCAGGGAATGTTGCTAACCTTCTGAACTCTTTTGCTGGTCTCAAAGGAGAGAAGTGGTGTCTCAGTATAGTGTTAATGTGCGTTCCACTTATTTTTAGTAAAAACGGGCATCGTTGGGTATGTTTTAAGTACCATTGGTTATCTTCTGTTGCGAACTCTGTTTATGTCTTTGTTTTCTGTTGCTTATAACAAAAACCTGACATGGGGTAATTTGCAAAGAAAAGGAATTTCATTCATACAGTTGTGGAGGCTGAGAAGTCCAAGGTTGAGGGGCTGCAGCTGGTGAGGGCCTTCTTACTGGTTGGGAGTTCCAACCAGGTGGCCCAGGGCTTTACCTGGCGAGGGGGCTGAGTATGCTGGCTCAGGTCTGTCTTCCTCTTTATATAAAGCCACTGGTGCCACGCCTGTAACAGCCCATTAACCCATAAATCCATGAAGGATGTATGAGAGTAGAGCCCTCATGACCCGGTCGCCTCTTTCAAAGGCCGCACCTCTCAACACTGCCACGTTGGAGATTCAGTTCCAACGTGAGTGTCAGGGAGGACAAGCATTCAAGCCATAACAGTCTATTATCCACTTTCCCTAGTCTGGTTTTTCATCTGTTTTTCTCTTTATTTCTTAGGAATTGTTCATAAATTAGGATGATCAGTCCTTTATCTGGGATGTTAGTTGTAAATATTTTCTCCCCTTATTTCATTTGTCTTGTGTTTCAAAGTCTGTTTTCTTGTTTTTAAATTTTATTTTTTAAATTCACAATAATTGTTCATATTCATGGGGCACATAGTGATGTTCCGTACATAAAATATGTGGTGATCAGATTAGGATAATTAGCATATCCATCATCTCAAAAGTTTATCCTTTTTTTTGTGTTGGGAATGTTTAATGTCCTCCTCCTAGCTACTTGAAGCTATATATTATTGCCAGCTATTGTCATCCTGCCCGGATATAGAACACTAGAACTTATTCCTCCTATCTAGCTGTAATTTTGTATCCTTTAACAAATCTCTCCCTGTCCTACACTTCCCCTGTCCTTCCCAGCTTCTAGTACCCTCTGTTCTATTTTTTACTTCTATGAGATCCACTCAAAGTCTATTTTATTAATCCCCATGTTACCCCTTGTGCAGTTAACTCAAGAATAATATGATAATGTAGAAACTTTATTGTGAGACGTCAATTAACAATTTACTTAAAGAGTCCACAAAACCCAGAACTCACCAGCAAAATACTGAAACCATAAACAGCCTTACAGAGACACAGACATAGAACACATACCTATAAAGTATATTCATGGCACAAAGCTGGAGTAATTAATTTGTTGCATAACTGAACCCAAATTCAGAATACTTTAGCAGTCTGAAAATATGGGCCAAAATGCACAAAATAAAATTTAGTAGAAATAATGTTCTGTACTTAGGCTTAAAAACATTAATTCCATATGTTCACAAGTGGGGACATTTGCCTTCACAGAGACTCGTGTAAGTGTATAAACTTTGGGTTCTAGTTGATCATACACTTACAGAATGATGGAGGTGTTACAAGAAAGTGTATTCTTAGAGCGAATAGTGGAAGGGGACTATCCTGATCATGGAGAACATTGCCCCTTTGGACCTGACACTTGTCAGACCACAGCCAGAATGGGATGTGAACATCCCAGTTTGGGGGACCACAAACCAAGAAGGTTGTAGACATCTGAGAGCAAGTCCAGGGCAGGGAGGCCAAGTCAGCGAAGGGTCTGGAAACCATACAGAGATAAATGATCAGGAACCGTGGAGAGATTTAATCTGGAGAAGGAAAGCAAGCAATTTTTGAAGTATTTGAAGGCTACCAAGTGGAAGAGGGGTTGGAACTGTGTGTTGCTCCGGACAGCAGGGTTAGGGTCGGTGGTTCTAACCTGCAGCACATTCGGGCTCGCTGTAGGGGAAGCGTCCTTACTGGCATTTGGGACTGCCTGCTTAACCTGCACGCTCCCTGTGGCCGGAAGTGTTTGGATAGAGGTGACAGACCTGCCAGGAGGGGTATGGGACGGCCTTCCTGCTGTTGAGGCAGTTTAAGCACCAGCCTTCTTGTCTGGCTTACGGAAAGCAGTCTTTTCCTTCTGGTGCCTTCTGTGTGTCGAGAGCAAGAGCAGGTGGGGAAAGTGGATCTGTGGGATTTTTTTGGCTACCTAAAAAGTATACGAAGAGTTTTTTTGGAAACATTACTTTGTAGGATTTCATGTTGAAACGTGTCAACCTTGAGTTCTAGCCAAGATCCCGAGCCAGTGTCCTGAAAGCAGGGACTGCCCCTGACAGTGGTGTCTGAGCGCCAGGACCTCAGACAGTGCCTCCACTTACCCTTATAGTCAGTGCTTGCCCTCCCCCGCCTGGCTGTCGAGGGCAGTAACGACCTCCCCCGTGTAAATTGTACTTGATTAAAACCCTGCTCAGGGAACTCGGAACAGTTCCTATAATAATCTTGCTATCAAACTGTAATGTGCACACAACTAAACGAGGGATGGGGTTAAAATGCAGATGTTGATTCTTTAAGTTAGAGATGGGCCTGAGATTCTGCATCTCTGGTAAGCTCTCAGGTGACATTGAGCCTGCCCGTCGGGGCCCACCGTGAGGAGCAAAAGTCTAAAAGCAGCAGTCTGCAGAGTGTCCCCCATGCACCCGGCCCCAGCTTGCTTGTGTAAAATGCAGTTTCCTGGGCCTTACCTGTGATCTCTGCGACCAGATTCTCATGGTGCAGCTCAAAGCGTCGGCTTTTTGAAACTGGCATTCAGGAGACGCTTAAGCACAAGAGAGGTTTTGAACCACTGGCCCTGGGGAAATGGATAGGGTAGTTCAGACGGAGGAGGAAATCGCTCAGTGGGGACACAGTGAGTCCCACACAAAGTTGGTTTATGTAGCGCTGGAGTGGGGAAGGATGGCCAAGGGTGTGCGGACCAGCTGGGAACCTGGGGCTTGATGGCACTTCTCTAAGCCTCACCTTCCTCTTTTGTAAAGCAGAGACAATGTGATCGGATGAATCTTGTTTTTCCAGTTGTCCAGCATGCTCTGCCCAGCCCATGCCGGGGCGCACTGACCATGAGCCTCAGCTCCTCCCTGGGCCACAGGAAGGAGCTGCGTAACCTCACTGCAGAGGAGGCTGGCGAAGGGGGCGTTATTGTCGCTGAGTTCATCGCCATCATTGTCATCACCGTTTTTGTCTGCTTGGGCAACCTGATCATCGTGGTCACCTTGTACAAGAAGTCCTACCTCCTCACCCTAAGCAACAAGTTCGTCTTCAGCCTGACCCTGTCCAACTTCCTGCTGTCCGTGTTGGTGCTGCCTTTCGTGGTGACCAGCTGCATTCGCAGGGAATGGATCTTCGGCGTGGTCTGGTGCAACTTCTCCGCCCTCCTCTACCTGCTGATCAGCTCGGCCAGCATGCTCACCCTCGGGGTCATTGCCATCGACCGGTAAGCTTGGCTGGGATGTGGCGCTGAAGGGTCACAGAGCGACCAGGTGCGGTGACTTTCCGCCTGCTTTAGCTCCCTGGGAGAGTGTCAGGGGCCTGTGCCGGGAGGATGAGCACGCGGAGTTGGGCCCTGCCTCCGTCTCTGCAACCAGGCACGTCTGGTTTTACTGTCTATATTGCACACAATTTTATTTTTTTTAAAAAAGAGATACCATTGCTTAAAAAAATAGTTCTAGAAACCTCCAATTCGCAGTTGACAGGTGAAGAAACAGAAGGCGAGGAAGGTGAAGGGTGAGAGTGGCACTGGGGTGCGGCTCTGACTCTGGCTCTTTCTCCCCAGCGGGCTGCCCGCTCCGGCTCGGCTCGCTTTGGTTTTGGCCGGAGCCTGACTGGTGGAGCCCAGAGAGGGAGCATGGTCACTCCTCACAGTCCAGGGCTGGAAGGAGAGCGGGGGAAGGAAGGCAGCCCAGGAAGACAGGGACACCTGGGAGAGGCTGCGTGTGCGCTTAGAAACCTGGGTGGCTCCCCGCTCAGTGTAGCTGGTGTGCAGGAAGGTCTGGCACTGCCAACGTCCCCCTGCTACATGTCGCAGGGCCTTCAGATTCCCGAGTCCTGCTGTCGGGGTCAGCTGTGCAGTTGTCGTGGGCTTTGGCAGTGGGTTTCCAACCCCTTGTTTATTAGGACTTTGCTGACAGTCACTTCGTTCATTGCAGACAGGGGCTGGACTTTGTAAGAACAGCTTCTCTGCACGTCTTTTTTCCCTCTAGTAATAAAAGTAATACAGTAAATATAATGAATGAAATAGGAAATACTCATAATCTAGTCAATTAGAGGCACTCAACTGCTTATACATTTACTGTATTTGCTTCCAGTAATTTTTGGTTGTATACAGTGAATTTTTGCAATAGGCTCATGGAATGTATATGGTTTTGTGACCTGCTTTTTTTTTTAAACTTAACTATATGATCATGAGCATTTCCTTGCATCTATACATACACTTCAAGAATGTGATTTTTAATGGCTACGTGGTATTCCATCCTGTGGATGTATTAATAGCATTTGAGTCAAGTACTAAATAGCAAGTGGCATCTCACAGGTATGGAAGAGGTGGAAGGGCCCTTCCAACTAAAGGAGCAGCCTCTATTTATTCAGTTGGTAAGCATTTATTAAGCACCCAGTGTATGCCTGGCACAGTGGTTGATGCTGGGAACACATAGCTGAATAAAGTGAAAAGACATGCTGAGACATTCGCAGTATAGGGGGGCAGGCATGTGACGAGATAACTTCGGGTCCATATGATAGGTATACAGTGCCGGCATGTTGGAGGCACTGTGGGAATGCAGAGGAGGAGAGCAGACTGACCGTGGCAGAAGTGCACGGGCTGTGTGCCGAGTGTGTGGTGTCTGACTGGGCTGGATCCCTAGGGGAATGGCTGGACACAGTCAGCTTCCTCCACCAGAGCCACGATCCACACTCCTCGGGCCCCACAGCCTGGCCCCAGGGTTACCAGTGACCAGAGCGGCTGGTGGGGAAAGGACTCCTGCCTCACTGCCGTGGCAACTTATCAAGGCCTGATTATCTTTGGAAACTAGTTCCTTTTCCCTTCCACAGGATGGATTCACAGTGCTTTGAAGCCAGATTGTTATGACTAAAATATATAGATGCTGTCACATTTGGTGCCTTCAGATATTGTAATGACGGATGCAATTTACTTTTGATTATTGGTCAGTAGGGTGGCTTGCAAAACACAAGTTGCCTGGACCAACTGCTACTTTTATGTTCAGAGAAATGATCATGATTTGGCCAGTCCAAGATTTCTCCACGTCAGCACCGTTGACATTCGGGGCCGGGAAGTTCTCCGTGGTGAGGAGCTGTCCCGCGCATTTTGTGGGATATGTAGCAGCGTCCTGGCCTCTGTCCACTTGATGCCAGGATCACCTCCCCAGCTGAGACAACCCAAAATATCTTTAGACATTGCCACATATCCCTAGGGGTTCCCAACTGAGAGTCCTAGCCAAAGAAATCTGTCAAACTGGTTGGGACGGATGAGCCCAAAGCGTCCATCTTGGAGCGCCATAAAAAGAGAGCAAAGACAGACTATACAAACAGTGGCTGCCCAGAGTGAAATTCACACGTCAGTGTCAACACCCTAAACCAGCCGCTGGGGGCACCATTGGACCCACGAAGAGCGTCCCTGTGACTAAGTCTGTTACTATTAATATGAATAAGTGTGTAACGTGTGGTCACCTCTAGCAGAGCTGTGAAGCTGCCAGGATGCCAGGTGCATGTAAAATAGTTCTTATATATTCATTCCATTTTCAGTGGGTGAAACTGCAGGTCTAAAAACAGTATTTCTTTTTTTTGTTTGTTTGTTTGAGACAGAGTCTCACTCTGTTGCCCAGGCTAGAGTGAGTGCCGTGGCGTCAGCCTAGCTCACAGCAACCTCAAACTCCTGGGCTCAAGCAATCCTCCTGCCTCAGCCTCCCAAGTAGCTGGGACCACAGGCATGCACCACCATGCCCGGCTAATTTTTTCTATATATTTTTAGTCGGCCAATTAATTTCTTTCTATTTTTAGTAGAGATGGGGTCTGGTTCTTGCTCAGACTAGTTTCAAACTCCTGACCTTGAGCGATTCACCTGCCTCGGCCTCCCAGAGTGCTAGGATTACAGGCGTGAGCCACCGCGCCCTGCCTAAAAACAATATTTCAATACATGAAAGCAGCTAGAACAATGGGATGGGTAGTGAGAGCGAAGATTACTAGTGATTTTAGGAGACTGTTCAGTGTAAGGTAATGTTTTTGCCCCAAGGTAGCTGGAGTTGGCTTAGATTTTGTGTTTTAAGTGACAACACCTTATTAAAAACAGGGATTGCAATCGAACCCTTTGGTCTTGTGGTGGGAGAGCTTAACCCCTGGAATACCTGTGTGCTGCAACTTTCATGAAATCTTCCCGTGGGTTCAGGGGTCGTGGTTGGGCTCGTGACTGATAATGAGTTAGAGACAAGATCGAGAGCCTCAGAAGATAGAAGAACAGAAATCAAAAGAAAACCCCTGTCTTTGGCCTGTATTAACCCACAGGGGATTAGGGAATTGCTTTAGTTCTGTGTTTTCCTTTGAATCTACAACTAGTCCTAAATGAGGCTTCAGCTTAAAAAAAAGAAGTTTCGGGCCTATGATTGAGAACACGTAAACCCATTTTCTTTTTTTCTGGGAGATGTGGAAATGTTCTGTATCTTAATAGAGGTATAGATTCGTGCATTTCAATGTATGTAAATTTTACTCCCCTGCCCCTCCCCCCAACACTAAATACAAAGTGACCTCTGGAGGGTGTGGCTGTACCTGGGCAGGGCTGTGACCTGTGGGGCTTTTTGGACTCCAGGAGACTGACCCCAAGAGGGCTGGCACCCAGCTCCACTGCCTGGGCGTCCTGACGGACCTCAGGACTCAGCTGGGAGGAATCACCGTCATGTCCCACTGGAATGGCTGGTGCCCAAGCCTTAGCCAGCGAGTGACAGAAATATTTGTTACTGTAAAGGAGAAGTCTCGCCATAAAGCAATAGTAAGAAGTGGGTGCTGAGAAGAGCCAGAAGGAAATCTGGCAGAGGACAGCTCATGAATCATCATCACGTTCATGACTGCCAGGACGGGGTTGGTCAAAGGACCAGGACAGTTAACATTCGCCAGACCTGGCCTCCCACACCCGGCTGTACACCCGCCCCGAGGTATCTGAGGTTGGAGTGCCTGCGTGCTTTTTAAAGGGACAGAGAAAAGTAGAAACCTCTGTTTTGGTTTCTTTTGAAAGCGAAGGAACCTTTCTAGAACCCGTCCCCAGCCCACCCGCCCCCAATCCCAGCCTAGCAAAAGCCCCTCACTTTCCATTTGCCGGAATGCTGTTTCAGCAGCCCACCTGGCAACGGGAAGGAGACCACCCTAGTGGTTTGTTCATCCTCCGGGGGCTTAGGAGGGCCCAGTGTCCCTTGCGGGTCAGGGAAGTTTTGCAGGAGTGCAGGCAATGTGGGCTTCCATCCTCAGGGGGTAGGGGTAGGGGTCAGTGGTCAGGCAGGGCACAGGCTGTCCCACTGCCTTTGAACGGTGGGTGTGACCCAGGCCTTTGATGCACTCTCCCCCGTGCGTTCCGGGAGCACACCTGTGACAGAGCTTCTGCAATTTCCATTTTACAGATGCAGGACCTGAAGCTCTGAGAGGCTAACTCAGCTACCCGAGGTCACATGGCTAGTAGACATCAAACTTCCACCTGAACTTGAGTGCCCAACTGCAAAGGCGTGCTTTTCCCATTGGGTTGCATGGCCTTTGCAAGATGCAAACCCAGATATCAGTGCAGGACAGTGGTCGCCTTGCCCCAGGCCAGCGCGCAGGGATTCTGTAACCCACACCATGATCACGGCTTGTCCTCGGGCCCCACATGCTGACGGGGTCGCCTCCCAGGCGAGATCTCGGCCTGCACTCACAGCCCAGGATCAGAGCTGCCTCAGGCTTAGCCCTGCTTAGGAAGACCCGGCTGGGGAGGGAGCGCCCCCAGTCGGCACGTGGCAGTTCAGCTGCTGGTGCCCAAGGGTGACTCAGGAAGGTCCCAGTGGAGGAGTGACGTCCCAGGTGAAGTGTGAGGTGTGTAGCCACAATCATTTCCCATCGTCCTGGCTGTACCTGCAGCATTAGTGTGGCTACCCCTTTCCTTTGGCACTTTGCCCTCAGGGGAAGGCCCTGTTTCCCTGGAATAAAATGTCTGGGTGTGGATGGTCAGTGGTGGTTTACTTTCAACTCTGTGATCTGAGTCCTCCCACCCATTCTGGTTAAAGACCTGGTCTTTATCTAGGCCTACAAGGCTCCATGCACGCTGGCGCCTGCCCACCTAGCTGGCTCCTGGTCTCTTCTCTCCACCTCGCACTCTGAGGTCTTGCCGGATTGTGCTCCATGCAGCTTCCCCATTGAGCAAGCGCCCACTCACATCTCGGTGCCTCGCCCAGGCTACCTTCTGCCTGGGCTGGTCCTGGGCCAGTGCCCCCGACCTTTCGAGACCCGGGTCTGGAGCATCACTTTCCCCAAGGAACCTGCTCTGGGCCTCCAGTCCCGCTAAGGGCTGCCAGTTTGAATCGATAGCGCTCCTGGCCCGTCCCCTCCTTAACAGCATCAAGCGACTGGGCACCACCCCCTGTCCACGGACTCTGAGACAAGAAGGCTTGCAAGGAATTGCTGGGCATGCGTGTTGTGGGTCACAGTCAGACGGCCTGGGTTCATTTCTTGTTTCTTCCATGTATCTGGGGTGGGCTGGTTAGCATTTTCTCTGCTTCAGTGTCCTCATCTGTAAAGTGAAGATAAGATACACCCCTGCTCAGAGCTGTGAGGATTCAGTGCGGCCCTTACCACTCCAGACTGTCATACTCTGCTTAGGTGACTGTCCTCCCCACAGCTTCTCGCCTGCATTTCCGGGACGTAGCGTGGGACTTGGCAGGGGGCAGGCCTTCAGCAGGTGTCCACTGAGTGAATGAACCCCGTAGTCCTCAGACCTCACTGTGGTCCTTAATCGTCCCTCTGGAAACTGACCTAAACGGATTAATGTCGGCAATGGCAGAACCGATCGGGCCCCGTGCCCAATCCCCCAGGACCCCTGTAGGTGCCCCCAGACCGGCCACACCTCCAAATAGGAATGGGTTCTGGTGTCACCACGTGGAAAGAGGACTGTCCGCGCTCGGTGTTATTGCCGGCGTCCAGCTCTCGGCGTCCAGCTCTTCACTCGTGGAGAGTCTTGTGGACTGTGAAGCATGGCACCGTCCAGAACGTGCCGGGGACTGGGAGGAGGGGCTGCCAGCATCTGTCCCTCGGGTCGCCTGTGAGAAATGCAGCAGAGCCCACCCTGGGTGTTCCCTCTCCCCTTGACTCCTCTCTCTCACCCCTCCATCCTTTTCTAGCTACTATGCTGTCCTGTACCCCATGGTGTATCCCATGAAGATCACGGGGAACCGGGCCGTGATGGCGCTTGTCTACATCTGGCTTCACTCCCTCGTCGGCTGCCTGCCGCCCCTGTTCGGTTGGTCACCGGTGGAGTTTGATGAGTTCAAGTGGATGTGTGTGGCCGCCTGGCACCGGGGGCCTGGCTACACCGCCTTCTGGCAGATCTGGTGTGCCCTGCTGCCCTTCCTGGTCATGCTGGTGTGCTACGGCTTCATCTTCCGCGTGGCCAGGGTCAAGGCCCGCAAGGTGCACTGCGGCACGGTGGTCATTGCGGAGGACGATGCCCAGAGGCCCGGGAGGAAGAACTCCAGCACCTCCACCTCCTCGTCGGGCAGTAGGAGGAACGCCTTTCAGGGTGTGGTCTACTCTGCCAACCAGTGCAAAGCGCTCATCACCATCCTGGTGGTCATCGGTGCCTTCATGGTCACCTGGGGCCCCTACATGGTGGTCATCACCTCCGAGGCCCTCTGGGGGAAGAACTCTGTCTCCCCGACCCTGGAGACCTGGGCCACGTGGCTATCCTTTACCAGCGCCATCTGCCACCCCCTCATCTACGGACTCTGGAACAAGACGGTGCGCAAGGAACTACTGGGCATGTGCTTCGGGGACCGGTACTACCGGGAACCGTTCGTGCAGCCGCGGAGGACGTCCAGGCTGTTCAGCATTTCCAACAGGATCACAGGTAACTGGGGAACTTGTCAGGAAAGGGGTCCGCGCTCTGAGGCAGGGGTAAGCCATGGGCCTCTCGGCCACGCCGGCCTGTTGAAGGGTGAGTCCTGAGGCTGGCTGTGTGGCCCCAAGGCTCAAAGCACAGACTTCCTCTGGGGCAAGAACATTCCAGAGCGTCTGCTGTGATTCCCAGGCAGCCTTCCGTCACTCAGCAGCTCGAGGCCGTGCTGACGAGGAGGCCAGCAGAGCTCCCGATGTGCGTCCCAGAAGAATTGGGCAGGGGATGTCACTGTTCAGAAATCCGTTTTCCGAATCCCCAGCCTTGGCCTGCTGGTCTGGAGAGTGTAGTCACTTCTTCACTAGAGAAAAAAGACTCGCAGTGTTGGACCAGGCTCCCTCCTCTTGGCAAGTCCTTTCCTTCCAGTGTTTCCTCTTGTCCCCGCTTCCTGTCCACCCGCTGCTGGTCCAGCCTACCCCCTTCCTCGACCGTCCTGCACCCTGGGCCCTGCCTCTCAGGTCGGGGGTCTCCTGGTGTGCTCCTTGACGATTCAGGGGTGTCAGTGCCAGACCTCAGCCTCCGCTGGGATGTCGCCATCTTGTGTGCACGGGGCTGCTCCCCCATCTGGCGACGGGCTAAGCGCACAGGTTTCTGGACATGGTCCTGCCACCTTTGACGAGACCCAGGCGAATTACTCTAGTTCTGTCTACTCTAATCTAGGAGTTAGATTTTTTAAAATCTTTTTATTTTGAAATAATTTTAGGTTTACAAAGGAGTTTGAAAAACAGTACAGAGAATTCCTGTGCTCACCCTGCCTCCTCCCGTAGTAACATCTTTCTTTCTTTTTTTTTTTGAGACAGAGTCTCACTTTGTTGCCCAGGCTAGAGTGAGTGCCCTGGCATCAGCCTAGCTCACAGCAACCTCCAACTCCTGGGCTTAAGCAATCCTCCTGCCTCAGCCTCCCGAGTAGCTGGGACTACAGGCATGTGCCACTATACCCGGCTAATTTTTTCTATATATTAGTTGGCCAATTAATTTCTTTCTATTTATAGTAGAGACGGGATCTCACTCTTGCTCAGGCTGGTTTCGAACTCCTGACCTCGAGCAACCCTCCCGCCTCGGCCTCCCAGAGTGCTAGGATTACAGGCGTGAGCCACTGCGCCCGGCCTACATCTTTCATAACCATAGCACAGTTCTGAAACCTGAGGCATCAACGCTGAGCGTTGGGGGCAGGGCTGTTAACTACAGGCTTGATTCAGATTTCACCTGCTGCTCCGTTACTGTCCTTTTTCTGTCCCATGACCCAGTTTAGGACCCCACATTGTTTTGGTTGTCATATCTCCCTTTGTCTTCTCAATCTTTGACAATTTCCTTATCTTTTATGACAGTCGACACTTTTGTATGCATCAGGTTTGTTTGTTTATTTATTTATTTATTTATTTGAGACAGAGTCTTACTCTGTCACCCCTGGTAGAGTGCCGTGGCGTCAGCCTAACTCACAGCAACCTCAAACTCCTGGGCTCAAGCGATCCTCCTGCCTCAGCCTCCCGAGTAGCTGGGACTACAGGCGTGTGCCACCACGCCCGGCTAATTTTTTCTGTTTTTTGTAGAGACGGGTCTCACTCTTGTTCAAGCTGGTCTTGAGCTCCTGAGCTCAAGCGATCCTCCCGCCTCGGCCTCCCAGAGTGCTAGGATTACAGGCGTGAGCCACCGCGCCCGGCTCATGAGGTATTTTGTGGAGTTCACTTTGTGTTTGATGCTTTTCAAGATTAGAGTGAGGTTTTATGTTTCTGGCAAGAATTCAGCAGGGGAGATACGCTCTTCTTCGTGCATCTTGTCACTATCAGGATGCCTGACTTATGCCAGGATGACTGACATAACATTGTCAGTGTGCCTCTTTCCTAGTTATGTCACCCTCCATCTCTTAGGTAAGGTGCTGTCTGTCAGCTTTTTCCACTGTCTAGTCACTAATTTTTCCTATTGTAATTAATAAATACAGCAGAGGAGATTCTTTGAGACATTGCAAATATCCTGTTTCGCCGTCAGCCTTCACCCGCTGTTTTTAGCACGAGTCGGAGGGTCTTGCCTCCAGCTGTTATTACCAGGTTGTTCTGAAGGGAGGTGGCTGGATTTTTAGGACCAGGTTTGAGGGACCCCGTCACCTGGCCAAGCCCCTGCAAGAGAGCTGTTGAGGGCACTGAGTTGGGGCTGCAGCCTGAATCTCTTGCTGGATGACTTTGGGCGTCTCTTCGAAGCACCCTCATTAATTTTTCTTCTTCATGAAATGAGATGCCTCAGAAGGGTGAAAGAAATAATGACTCCTGATTGTAAATCCTGAGTGGCAGTGACGGGAGACCCTTCCATGCGGCACTGAAACACCAGCGTCACTGGTGTGTCATGGTGATGGAGTGCTATTTCTTGGGAAAGAAAGGAAGCCTGGGACTTTTTATTTTGACCACGGGGGGGGGGGGGTGGATCTCCCTGTATCCCAGTATTTTTTATTTTATTTTATTTTATTTTTTATTTTTTTTGAGACAGAGTCTCACTTTGTTGCCCAGGCTAGAGTGAGTGCCGTGGCGTCAGCCTAGCTCACAGCAACCTCAAACTCCTGGGCTCGAGTGATCCTCCTGCCTCAGCCTCCCAAGTAGCTGGGACTACAGGCATGCGCCACCATGCCCAGCTAATTTTTTCTATATATATTATTTGGCCAATTAATTTCTTTCTATTTATAGTAGAGACGGGGTCTCACTCTTGCTCAGGCTGGTTTTGAACTCCTGACCTCGAGCTATCCGCCTGCCTCTGCCTCCCAGAGTGCTAGGATTACAGGCGTGAGCCACCGCGCCCCGCCTTGTATCCCAGTATTTTAACCACCGAAACGCCCGCCCCCTGCCAGTGAGTTGCAAACCCACATTTCCACGCCTGACTTGTGATCCGCAGTACATTCAGTGTTTGGCTTCACCTCGCTGATTGACTTATTTATTCAGATTTTGTGAGATCACTTGTCCTCTAGGCAAGAAATAATAGATGTTTTCTGTTTCAACGGAGTTAAGGACGAGGAAGGAAAAAAAGCGAGGAAAGAGAATGGAGGAGGAGAGGGGAGCTAGAACAAAAAGAAGCATTTGCTTCTGGGGCCAGGATTTCCAAAACGGTCGCTTGTGCCTGCCGTGGAAGCGCTGGCGAGGCCGTGAGCACGGGCGGGAGCCGGCAGGCGCGAGGGAAAAGCAGCCTGGTGGGATGATGGGTTCTGAGTGGTTGGCCTCACCCAGGAATGGGAGTAGAGGGATCCTTGCTGTTCTTCCCAGAAGGTCCTTGTCCCCCAGGAGGAGGCCGCCGAGCGTCAGCAGGAGTCAGGGACCAAAGCAGAATGAGGCGGCCCAGCCCAGCCGCCCACCCTGCGCGGTCCACCCTGACTGCCCCGCAGATCTGGAGGGAGAGCCCCGGCCTCCGCCTCATGTCCCTGGTCCCTCTGTCTGAGCCTCGCCCTCTGCGGGCACGGCTTCGATCCGAGGCGGATCCGAAGCCCAGATCGCCGTCCCTGCCCGTGTCCCGCCCTTAGCACGCCGTGAGGAAGATGACGAGATCTGTTCCAAAGCCAGCAAGCAAGGACTCGGAGCCTCTGTTTTGGTTTTGTTCCTCTCCATTTGTGTGGGTACCTGGAAAGTTTTAAGCAAGGGATCAGTACGCGGAATCACAAACTTCCCTAGAAGAGTGCGTGTGCGCAAAGGCAGGGGCAGCATCCCACACGTGCCCGGACCTTCCCAGCCGCCTCGACGTCAGGAGTCCCACGAGCACTCGACAGTGTTTGTTTCGTACATCAGGTTTTCTCAGCGTGTTCTCCCCACACTGAAGAAGTGCAAAAGCTCAGGCTTTCCCTGGAGCGCCAGCAGTCACTGGGCCACCAGATGCCTTCAGCTTTCCAGGGCTTACTTACTGGCAGAGCCCCACCGGGAGGCTCACCTGGGCATTTAGATCTCTGGGCTACCTGGGGGCTGCCAGGCAGTGCCAACTAACGGTGGACAGGTCAGCCCTGGAGGGGACAGTGGCTGCTAGGGCTGAAAGGTGAGCTCAGTGCCAACATTTTGTCTTAAGATGCTAAACCACACATTGAAGCTGACAGGTGGCCGCTGGCCACTGGAGCCGAGGAGAGGCCCTCAGGAGAAGGGACACCCAGCTTCTCCGACAGCCCTCACCTGCAGATCCCGCCCCGTCACTGCAGCCAGGGCCCAGGCCAGGCGGGAGGGCAGCCTCCCCGGATGCCCCTCTCACCCGGGCTGATGCGTGTGCATAGAGATCCCTGGGCTCGGAGCCTCTCCAGGTGTCTCCTGGGGAGCCGACCCCTGCTCACATTTACCTAGGGGAAACGGCTCACTCCCGCTTCTGCTTGGAGGGGTCTGGGCTGGAGGGAGGGCAGGGAGACCCCGGAGCCTTTGAATTCTCCTCCCTTGCTTTTCCAAGCTCCTTTCCTGGTGGCACCTGGAGGTCGCCTTGTTGCACAGAGTGCCTGCTTCACCTCGGACCCACACCCCTGTTCTCTTAGTTCCTCAAAGGTGCTATGGCTTTTACCCGCTGCACGCTTCTGGGGAGCCACGGACCTGTTCCCTGTGCCTTTGAGCTTTGGTGTTTGTTGGGTTTTGAGGGGTTGGGTTGGGCCCAGCCCAGGAGAGAGATTGTTTCCTGTGAAAAATCCCGGGGTGAGTGCAGGGTAAACACAGAGTAGAGGGATGCCACCTGGCCACCCACTTCCAGACCTTTCAGCGGAGCCACCCGGGCCTGGCTCCAGGATTCCTCCCGCTGGTGGGGACCCAGACATGTTGCTGGCTTTCACCGCAGCCTCAGAGATGGCGTCCAAAACCCACTGTGGCTTCAGCTCTCCCAGTTGGCAGGGAATGGCCCCTCGGGCTCCGCTCCCCGAGCCAGACGTCCTGTGAGCACAGTCGTGTCCTCAGGCCAAGGCCCTGGAGGGGACAGTCACGTGCGGGGACACGCGTGGGCCCGCTCTGGTCCCAGCCCCCACCCCTGACCCCTAGTAAGGGACTGGGACGCACGGGAGGTTCTGAGAGAAGCTTGCTGTGGCTCCTCCCCGCCTCCATCTCCTCCATGGCTCCAGGGAAGCAGGAGAGTGTGTTCTGGTAGCTCGTGCCCTGAAGAGTTAGGGTGCAAGTGAAGAATGTGGCTCTGCTACCTCGAGGGCTCTGCAGGAGGACGCAGGTTGTCCTTTGTGGTTGAGCTCGTTCAGTCTCCTAGGCAGGAGGTCTTCCTCGTGGGATCTGAGGGGTTCAGTTTTTTCTGCCATATTTTTAAGTTCTCAGAGCTTTGTGTTATCTCTGTGTTCCCTTTCTTACAGCCTCCAACTCTTTTTTTGTGGATTCCTTGTTTTCTCAACTTTCTAGGGACACCCAATTATAATTTTGTTTTGCTTTCTTTCTTTCTTTTTTTTTTTTTGAGACACAGTCTCGCTTTGTTGCCCAGGCTAGAGTGAGTGCCGTGGCATCAGCCTAACTCACAGCAACCTCACACTCCTGGGCTCAAGCGATTCTCCTGCCTCAGCCTCCCGAGTAGCTGGGACTACAGGCATGTGCCACCATGCCCGGCTAATTTTTTCTATATATATTAGTTGGCCAACTAATTTCTTTCTGTTTATAGTAGAGATGGGGTCTCACTCTTGCTCAGGCTGGTTTCGAACTCCTGACCTCGAGCAATCCGCCCGCCTCAGCCTCCCAGAGTGCTAGGATTTGTTTTGCTTTTCTATAAGCTCCCTGTATTGTCTCTTCTGAGATCCATTTTTCTTTATTCTTTTTCTCCCCATGTCAGTCTTTCGTGCTAATACCGTTCCCTAAACGTCTAGGCATCCCTTCAATAACGAGGCCCCGCAGGGAGGGCCATGGGGAGGCCGTGGCTGCAGGTGGCCTGGCAGGGCCGTGTCCCTGACACCCACCTCTCCAGACCTGCTCGAGATCTTTTCTCAAGCGTGGGTGGGTTCTTCCGGGGAGGAGTGTTCCAGTGTCCAGCCCAGGCTGCGTGGGACAAGGGCCAGGGTCCCTCTGATGAACAAGTGGATTCTCACTGTCCCCTCAGTCTTTACCGTGTCACCCGCCTCAGCTATGCCCCGGGCCACTGTCTCCACTCTCCTGCCAACACAAGGCCAGGCGCCGGGAGCCCAGGCTGGGGAGAGCAGTGGAAGGGCCGGCTGCTTCCCGCGGGGACTTTCTGTCCCCGGGCCCCCAGTTCCTGAGCTGCTGGGGCCTCCCCGGCTGCCAGCGCCATTCGCGCTCCTGGGTCAGCTCATCGCCCTAACCCATCTACTTTCCAGCTTCCAGAAATTCTCTCCCCTTTGGGTTTTAAGCCTCTTTTAAAAAATCCATTTTTGGTGTTCAAGTTGGATTCCAGGAGGTGAACGGGTCACTGAAGACCTGAGAAGACCGTTCGGCTCCCACTTGCCCTGTTGGTGTTGGACACCGCCGGGGAGGTTCCCCTCTGGGGGGCCGGGCGGGCCCTGGCGTGCTGGGACAGGAACACCTGGCGAGCGGGCCGGAGCAGCCAACCTTTCGGGGACAGGGAGCGAGAGGAACAGCTGCGGGGAAGCCCGGATGGGAAGGTCAACTGCCTCCGTCAACTGCCATCGCGCCTTCAACGCCAACTTTGCCTTTCAGACCTGGGCCTGTCCCCGCACCTCACGGCGCTCATGGCAGGCGGACAGCCCCTGGGGCACAGCAGCAGCACGGGGGACACTGGCTTCAGCTGCTCTCAGGACTCAGGTACCGTCACGCTTTGTGAGCCTCTCACCCGTGTCCCCCGATGCGGGTGCAGGAGCTGGTGCAGCGGCACTTCCCACGGGGGTGGGGAACTTTGCACTTTCAAGTTGTAAATGTGTATTTAGTGCAACGCATCTTAACTGAGGTAGAAATTCAGACGGTGAGAAGAGTCACTCAGGATACAGCGTTCCTGTTGAAAGGACCCTCTCGCCGCTCGGCCGCTCCCGCCCCCTCCACGCGGGGCCTGCAGACTCCCGTGTCCGCGCCACGCCCCGCGCGGCTCGAACCCGCTGCCCTGGGTGGCGTTGCCGTGGTCTCCACGTGGCGGGAGCAGCTGCGCTGGCTGTCTGCAGGCTCCGCGGAGCAGGACGGCGGGGGTTTGTCGGGCAGGTGCCGCAGGGCGGTTGGCGCCCGGCTGTGGGTTGGAGTGGGAGAGGGGCTGGGGTGCGAGGGCGGGGAGAAGGAGGTGTGGGGACTCCGTATTGCTGGTTTGTGTGCACAGCCGGCCGCTTGTTTTAGGGACGGATGTGATGCTGCTTGAGGACTACACACCTGATGACAACCCTCCCTCCCACTGTACGTGCCCGCCCAGGAGAAGGAGCTCGGTGACATTTGAGGATGAAGTGGAGCAAATCAAAGGTGGGTCTCTGTGACCGATGGCTTCTAGAGAACAGGGGAGGGGGGGGATGACTGGGAAAGTCCTCAGCCCAGCCCTGCCCCGCCCCAGAGCCTTGGCCTTTGCCCACCCCCATTCCTCCCCTCCTCCCCGCCCTGCGGGTCTCGCCCGAGTCCTGGGCAGACAGTGGCTTCAGGCTCCCCCCACACAGAGCCCACACTCTGGGTCACATCTCCTCCCTCAGGAGGTTGTCTACAGGCATGCGCCACCATGCCTGGCTAATTTTTTTAATGTATTTTTAGTTGGCCAATTAATTTCTGTTTTTAGTAGAGACGGGGTCTCGCTCTTGCTCAGGCTGGTCTCGAACTCCTGACCTTGAGCGATCCTCCCGCCTTGGCCTCCCAGAGTGCTAGGATTACAGGCATGAACCACCACGCCCGGCCCCCTCTTTCCCTTGGTTTCATTCCCGTGTGGGTGATGCGTGGTTAGAAATCTGAACCTTCCCCCTCTGAGCCTCAGTTTCCCCCTGTGGAAAGTGAAACAATGGCCCAGAGAGTGTATCTGCTAATACTTTCCTGGAGCAAGAGCTGCCTTCCTGCTGTCTGTTGCCCTTTCTGAAGCTGCGGTGGCTCTTGAGTCCTGCGAGGGGGACGGCCCTGCCCCTGGTGCAGCCCCTGCGTCTCCTCCTACCCCGTCTGCTCTCAGCTCACCCCCAGCACCCTTGTCACCTCTGAAACATGCTAATTAGGAGGGCGGCGAACGAGCCGCCCAGGCTGCCTGCAGAGCAGTGAGGACAACCACCGTGCCTGGGCTGGGGCGTGGCGCGGGAGTGCAGGGACTTCAAGACCCAAGGTCTTCAGAAACGCTGACGGTGGAAGTCAGCGTTCCCGTCGGAGTTATTTTCGTAATTAATCACATCTCCGGAGCTCAGAGCGAATGGAGGTCAGAGAGGTGGAAATCGGAGCATCCCCTTCACTGGCAAAACACATTCTAGAACTGAGCTTGGGCTGCCAGCCTCGTGGGTTTTGTAACATATTACTCTTCACAGAACATGTGCATCGAACCCCCGCCCACACAGCGCAGCTTGCCCCATTGCGCCTGCCTTGTGGAGGTGGCAGTCGGAGAGCAAGGCCCTGCCAGGGGAGTCCTCTCCCCGAGAGTGAGTGGCCGGGCAGAGGGTGGCCAAGGGCCCCTCCACGCTGTCCCTCTCGGAGTGTGGGCTGCAAGTCGCCCACCGTCCAGAAGACGCGAGGAGGAGGGTAGATGGCTCCCCCGAGATGTCCAGGCGGGCGGTGCGGCCGATATGAAGGATGACAGGGCAGTGGGCGCCACACGGAACAGCCACCTCCTCACGTCTGTCCTTTTAGTTGTCAGCGGTTCTAATCCTCGGTAGCAGCTTGAACCTTTAATGTCACGTCCAACCCTGAGGTTCTCCGCGACCTCGGGGAAGCGCTGAGCAAGTGTGGGGAGGAGAGAGGTGATGGCTCGGTTTTGGAAGTTTGTAGCTGTAGATGTTACACCGCTTTAGGGAGCGAAGGGACCAGAGGACGTTTCCAAAGATGTAACAGTTCTGATGAATAATGCTAGAAAGGATTTATCAGGCTTTTCTAAGCAGCTTAGAAAGAGCGATCTCGCCGAATGATCGCAGTAACCCTGTGAAGCGAGAGGAGTCTTGTTACCTTCTCTTTTCAGTTGAGGAAGTTGAGGCTAGACCTCATCACTTTTCCGAGGTTTCCCGGGTAAAGGGTCGGGGAGTCAGGGCTTTTACCCTTGGGACTGTGACTTCAAAACCTGTGCCCTTGCCCTCCATTTGCGTCCCCTCCCCGGGGCAGCTGAGCCACGACAGGCAGGTTCCCGGGTGGTGGCTGGTCCAGGCTCCTCGGCTGACCTTTCTTCTGCCTTCTCCCTCAGAAGCTGCCAAGAACTCCGTTCTCCACGTGAAGGCCGAAGTACACAAGTCCCTGGACAGCTACGCAGCCAGCCTGGCCAAAGCCATCGAGGCTGAAGCCAAGATCAACTTGTTTGGGGAGGAGGCTCTGCCAGGGGTCTTGTTCGCGGCACGGGCCGTCCCGGGCGCCGGTTTTGGGGGCCGTCGAGGCAGCAGGACTCTCGCGAGTCAGAGGCTCCAGCTGCAGAGCATCGAAGAAGGGAATGTCCTAGCTGCAGAACAGAGATGAAGGCCTGGGGGCGGGCTGGGGCCGCGGGGGCCTCCCGTGCCCGTCTGTGCCGGCGCCCGGGCGCGTCCCTGTGCACCGCGGGCCACACACGGGCGGGGACGTCTGCTGTGCAGCCACGGGAAAAGGACTGAAAATCACGTCTGCAGCCCATGACCTCAGTGCCGCCTTGAGACTGCATGCGGGCTTCTCTGAGGTCCCAGTGATGGAGCCAGAAGCATCTAAAGCAAAAAAAAAAAAAAAAAAAAGCAGGTGGCAGTGTGGCCCTGGCTTTTTGGGAGGTGGGGCAGAGAGGAGGACTAGAGACCGTGGGCTTGGAAGGAAAGCACGGTATGGATCAGCTTCTCTTCACAGCCTGTGTCCCGGTGGTGCGGCCACCCACTGTCCCCGAGGTTTCAGGCGGGGGACCCTTCCCAGTGCACTTGGAGGATGGCACTGTAGTTCTTCCCAACACAGCCTCTGTGTGGGCCGTCAGCTCTAGACTAAGTGGCCTGCAGAGAGAGACCCAGGAGCAGAGTGCCCCGGAGCGACTTCCCACACCACCTGTCCTGCCCAGGAACTGGCCCTCAGTGTCGCCCCCCATGGGTGCTCGCAGGGCTCGCCCACGAGCCTCTGAGGACGGGGGCCCACCTGCCCCCTTTCTCTACTGACAGATTCTTTGGTATTTCAAAAGAAGGGCGAAACCACTATGCAAGATAGGAGGAAGGGGCAGGTACCATGTGTGTTTCATTTCCAGAATAAAAAAGAATCCACTGGGTTAGGACATACCGCTGTTTTACCAAGACTAACGGGGGCTGTGGTGCCAAGCACAGCCAGGAAACCGATCCTGTTGTACTGGCGGGAATCCCGTCCCCTGGGAAAGCCTCACTGAGTAGCTCCTGTGTGTGATGTCTGAGTGACCAGTGGACACAGCTGGCCGCAGTGGCACAGGGCAGGCTCCCCCGGTACAGCCCGGGGCAGCTCAGACAGGACAGCAAGAGCACTGGGCCCGGAGTCAGCAGCCTTGGTTCTTGGCCCAGCTCTGCCTTCGTGTGCACGCTCGTGTCATTTGGGACATCTTGTCACCTCTCTAGGTCCTCTGTAAAATGGGAAAGGGGAGTGGGGAGTTGGAGTGGATGGTTTCCAAGATCATTTCCGGCTCTGACCTTGGATATTCTCTGAATGTGTAAATTAGAGGCAGGAAAAAAAAAAACAAACCAAAAGTAGACCCGTGGACCAATATCTGTATAACTTCTGAGTGTAGTTGCCGGTGGACATACGAAGTGTGGCCCAGCCTGGTTTCCCTGTCCTCGTGACTCGTGTGTTTGGAGCAGAGTCTGGACAGAATGCCAGCCGCCAAGACGCGTAAGCGGAGGGAGAAGGCCACCGCCTCGGAAGTGGACGTGGAGCAGCAGGAACGTGATTTGTGGGTTAGACCTCACTCCTCTCCCCTCTGAGTGGGAGCATCTGTTGAAGTCTGGGCTTGGAGAAATTGCCCTGGTGACTTTGGGGGCCCGTGGCTCTCCCCTTGTGTCTGCCCTTCAGCCTGGGACAAAATAATCCAAGTTCAGGACTTCCCTTGGTCAGCAGAGGGTAGATTCCAAGGAGATCTTGCTGTGCCTGCTGCTAGGTGGCTGTTCTAGAAAGTGAATCACCTTCGCGTCGCTTTCTTTGGGATCTAGCTCTCTCCTGGCGAGGTAGTGTCTTTTTTGCGTGTGGCGGAAACAGTGGTTGCCTGGTCCCCCTGGTCTGCAGTTTACAAAAGGCCTTTCATGAGGCCTGGGGTCCTTCTCCTGTAGTGGTGGAACTCACCAGCAACGGCTGCTGCAGGCCGTCTGGCTGCTAGGCCCCGGCCTGGGTTCCGCATGGGAGTGGGAAGGAGCGGAGGGCACGCTCCCCTGTGGGTTCTGCTGCTGACAAGTGCAGGTCACAGACTCTGCCCTCACTGCTGGGTGGCATTCCTAAGGCTGAGGGTAGGTTAGGTTTTCTATATATATTCTGTATATATATTTTTTCTAGCACGTGTCTAGTTTTTGAAGGGACCGTGTTTCTGATCAACTAGTACATACAGAGGTAGAATAGCGCAGAGAGACCTTTTCCTCTGGGATGGGTGGCCAGGAAATTGGCTTGGAACCCAGGGGTGGGAGAATGCTCTCCCGACTGCACTAGGCTGGGCTAGATCTAGGGTGGGAATCCTGAGGCCTCCCCAAGTCCCCACTGGCTGACCCCCGACTAGGTAGAATATAATAGGATTTAATCTAAATCAATCTAGAAATACTGCATTTCACAAAAGGATTCATTGTGTTTCACCCCCTTTTTTCAAAAAACTGAGGCCCATTCATTTAGTCACCTACCAGACAGACACTGCACGTCACCTACCAGACAGACACTGCACGTCACATACCAGACAGACACTGCACGTCACCTACCAGACAGACACTGCACGTCCACCGTGTGCAAAGCACCAGCCCAGGCGCCGTGGGCAGTAACGCCGAAGTGTTCACTGTAACGCAAGGAGAGAGACCTGCGCGATACAGATTCTAATCAGTGGCAAAGTGAAGCGGTGGTTACAGAAAGAATGGTGGTCTCTCCAAATAGGGAGTTAGGGCTGCATGAGGTAGGTGACGGTTTGAGCTAAGTCTTGGAGGCTGTTTGGCAGCTAGAACCATATTTTGCGTATTCCGGAATTCGAATTTTCCTCGATTCAGCTTGAGAGGGTGTGGGCATGGGGAGGGAGGGAAAAGAGAACCCCCCCCACACCGGCATTTTTAAGGAAATCCGCCGTTAGTGCAGAAGGTCAAATCCCCAACTTCCCCCACTGAACCCAGGCTCCTTAGCTGTAAACTGCCACACAGTGGCAGGCCCGAGGCCTTCCTCAGGGGACCCCATGGACAGTGGCAGGTGGGACCTTTGGTTACTTGTTGGCTTAAATACCTCAGTCTTGCGTCATCTGGTTTTGATAGGACCACTGTACGGCTGTTGCCCATATCTGCTGGCATTGAGAGTTCCACCTGCCTGGGTCCCCGTGCTGTGCCACAGGTACCAGCTTCCTGGTTTGGGGCTGTTTTGACCCAGAAGGCATTGGGAGGGCCACACTGCAGGGCACACAACTCAACACCGAGCCTTTTCCCTGGCCAGGGGCATCAAGACTGGAGATCAGGACCTTAGCCACTAGGTGGCAGCAGTGAGGCTGTGATGAGCCAAGGAGAAACCGGACAGCGTGTTTGCTTCTTGCTCTGCACGCCTTTGCCATGACTGCAGTCCTCAGCCTGGGTGACCTTGCACCACCTGGTTAACCTGCTTACGTGTGAGACCCTCATTCGGGTTCACAGGTGCTGCCACTACTCCACTGCGTGATGTCAAGCAAACCACTGCTCCTGGAGAAGCAGGGTTGAGGAGCATGAGACAAGGGCCATCTGGTGCCAGTGTTCTTTGATTCTCGTTTGAGGAGTTGCTGGGTGGTCTTTCTGCAAAGCATTGAGCAACCAGTGAGCCTGACTCAGTATTTGCAGTAGGCCAAGGAAGTTTGGGTTGGGACAGGAGAGGGAGGACAGTCGCTTTGATACAACGAGAGATTGTTAGTCTGTTTAGATTTAACTGTACGAATATTCTGAGATGGATGCCTGCAGATTAGAGATGTACCTTTGGATGGACCATCGCATACACTCACGACTGTGTTCAGCCTCGGGCTCTGGCTTCGTCCTGTGTGGAAGGAGCTGTGAGGGTGACGTGGCTGTAAAATAGGAGGCGAGGGACTAGCACGTGTCGAGCGCCTGCTGTATGCCTGACCTGTGGGACCTCTGAGCGCTTGTTCCGTGCGAGGCACTGTTGGGTGCTTCCAAGTGCGTTGTCTCATTTCACTTCGGTGCGAGTGTGACAGAGCAGAACAGCGCAGGGTGGGTGTGGTTGTGAGTTCATGCCCCACGCTGCCGTGTACTAGCTGGGTGTGGGACAAGTTACCTGGTGTCTCTGCATCTCGGTTTCCTCATCTGTGAAAGGAGGTTTGGGAATGATCTCTTTCTATGTGGGCACGCACAGAGGTCCAGGGAGGGCTCCCTTCGAGGCTGACGGTGTGGGTCACAGAGGAAATCCTTGAGCAGCACTCAGCACAGGACCGGGGGCGCAGGGGAAGCCGAGCCCCTGGCATTTTTTTCTCAGCAGCTCCGTGAGGGAGGAGCGCATTGTTGTTTTACACGGATCTTTGTAACAGGAAGTGAGAATCTTAAAAAGGTAACCGTTATTACCCTAGATTGGAGGTATTAAGGGTTGCTGCCATAGGAATTGCCATGTTTGTTGTACAGCACAAAAGGACTTTCGGGAAAGAAGGGGTGTGGTGAGGAGGGGAAGGCAACAGAGAGGAGGGAGGAAAGCCTAAGCAGCTTTTGAAACGCAAGAGGTTTGGGGGAGCAAAAGTGAGCTTTTCTATTAAAAATACCTGTCTTCCGCGCTACTGGCCTGTTTGCACAAAGATAAAATAATTCTAAATGTTGCCCTGAATGGCTGTCGAACCCCAGGGCCCAGTGTAGAGTCCCAAATCACAGCACAAATTCAGCCTTGATCTTCCTTACAGCCCAGAAGGGACATTCTCCCTTGGTTGCTAAGGACAGCTCTGTCCTGCAGTGACAGATGACTCCTTGGCTGTGGCTCTTGGGTTCACAGAATCTGTAGTCCTCCAAGCCTCTGAGGGAGGGGGCAGGGCAGGGTAGGAGTCCAAGCTCTACCCACAGTGTACAGGGAACCCCAGGCTTCAACCCTCACCCTGAGGCAATGGGAAACGGCTGTGACCAGCCATTTAAACCTACAAGAAGGAGCAGAGGCATGCCATCCTTGTGGGCTGGGGAGAGGGGATATACAGAATCCAGGATGCCTAGGGAAATTGGGGTCTCAAAGTGAGTTAAGTCAGAGTCAGGGCCAAACTCCAGGTCTAGGCCATGGGCAGAGGAAAGGAAGGAGGAAGCCTTATGGCTCAAGGAGGATGAGGGATAGTTAAGTCATTTGATAGCGGAACAATCCGGCTGGCTTTGTTAGATAGGCAGAAAGAACTATTGTAAACCAAGGAGCTTGGGAGACAACTAATACCTGCTGGCCAGACCTAAAAACACTGAAGGCTCAAGAAAAGTGATTGGATTCACTGGAAAGTATCCAGTAAATACTTTGGATTCCAAAGTATTTCCAATATGTTGAAAAGATTCCTTTGAAAATATCAAAGCGCAAGCTCAAATATGCATAAGATTACAAAGAGCACAATTTTTGTCAGTGTTAATTTTAGGAGAATACACAGAACCGTGTTCGTTTCCCTCAGAAATATTTTCCTGAGCAGTGTCAATAGCTTAGGAATTAGAAGCCACTTGTGTTTTTCCTTTGGACACCACCGTTTTGAAATACCACTGCCACAAATCACAGGCCAGCAGCCCCCCTGGAGGAACAGCCGCCCCAGGGACCATCACAGGCCCGGGCAGGCAAGGCCACGCCGCCTGTAAACTTAAGGGACACGCCTGTGTTGTGCTGATAATGACTCGTAGATGCAGAATTGGTTAAAAACCAACCTTCATAAAAATGAAGAGCAAAAAACCAAGCTAATCCTGAAATATATTTAACTTGAAGTCTCTGGATGACTTTTTTTTTTTTAAAGATTTGAAAAAGTTTAGGATTATTATAAGCCAATATTTATAAACAAGTAAAAGTGTACTTAGAATAGTTTTGTTTACCTGATTAAATGTTTTTGGTACATGTATAGCTGTGGAAATTGTGAATTTGTACTTGGACTTGTGATCTGTGGGCTTTGGCGGGAGCCTCTCCTTTTCCCTATTTTCTGCAGCCACGTCCCTGTTGCTGACCTCCCTTCCCACCGGCTGCAAGGAGGAAGACTGAGCAGGAAGGGGCAGACGTGCAGAATTGGGGGAGGGGCTGGGGGGAAAGACTCCCATACTAAAGTCACCTGGAGATATCCATCTAGGTGTTTTTCATAAATTTCCCCAAGACAATTAAATTCATACAGTATTATTAAATGACCTGCTTCTCACCATGCCCAAGAAACACTTTAACCCAAAGTTTTTAAAGGAAGTTTAATGAACATCAGCGCTGTATCTGTCTACCTAGATAAAGATATATTCTCCATCCCATAATCAACGTTAAAGACAGGGCAAGTGGCAGGTTATCACTACTTTTGAGACTCAGAACCACCTCAGGGCACAAAACCTACCACCTTTACCT